TTATGTTACCACGGAAATAAACCACTACTACATGTACGTGTAGAAAAGTACTCTTCCTGAACACTACTTGGTGATAATTTGACGACATCAATAAAGCAAGTCACTTTTTGCATTGGCAATATTCGTATTAAAAGAGAACTTGAAAAAAGTCGTTCTCATGTCCAAGACCTGATGTGTACCCGCCCCTTAACCAAATGCATCAACCATTTAAACGACATGAGCGGAAAGAGTACTGTACAACAACTTGGTAACATAAATACACGTACAATAGTAACCCAGCAACATACAGGGCTGACGCTAAGAATAGGATTAGACGGCGTTCACAACCAGTTGATCCGCGGACTATTTAAGGTCATTACACCTGACAATGGATTCCCCACCTCCCATGTGCACCGTCCCAGCAGGGGATAGCGATTAAAATCAGGCTTGCTTTCAAGTGGAACTTTCAAATATTTCTACTAGTTTGTTTGTGCATCAACTGGTTGTGAACGCTGCCTTAGTCCTTTTTTAAAACAGACGTTTGGTGAAAAATACTCCTTACACCCGACTTTTCATTTGATACACCTTCTGATGGAGAACATCACAACCCAAAGCAAATATTACACTTCATATTAAATGTTAACCCAGTAAATTTACTAGAAGACAAACTAAGACATGCGACATGTAATCTTGACATGGATGCAGCCGCTGTGGAACACGAGTCTGACATCATTGATGGAGAACGTATTCAATCTCCTCGTCCACGGCTGAGTAGCTAAAATTAAACAAAAACACTTTTTACAAAACAATGTCTATGGGTTTGTTAAATAAAGCAATTTTTAATTTTACAGAAACCGATTTCGATGATAATATTCAACAAATCTCTTTTCAACTTCTAAATGATACGAATATACAGTATACTGAGCTGACCGGTTCTATATAACACGGACATAACGTAATTCTGTCCATGTATGTAATCATGCACTTATAAACAGTATCATTTCTATTCTTTTACACTGTGCATACAATCTAACGTCACAGCATTCTGTGTCAGGGAGGCTAGAATAAGATACTGGCGTTCGGATTACGGATAAGTTGGGGCCGTAGCGATAGTCCGAAGGTTCAATAGTCCGAAGGTTCATTGGTCCGAATGTTCACTATAGAACCTTCGGACCAATGAACCCTTGATTAAAAAATCGATAAAAATGTTACCACTTTTCGGACCAATGAACCTTCGGACCAATGAACCTTCGGACTATCGAGACGCCCCCGATAAGTTCACAGAAGTGAAAATTTTTTGAAGAAATCATTGGTCGGAAGGTATTAAAATCAAAATTTACGAGATCCTTGAGAGGAGAAAAACAGAATGACAACATGTACACATTGGCGGGTAGGGGTTTGCGGGTAGTGGATTTTGAATATTTTACAAACAAATCGGGTCCTACAAATGTATTTACCTGCTAAAAATGTCTCACATTGTTTAAGTAGGAAGACGCGTTCACAGCTGGAGCAAACCTCTCACCACCTGTTTACTGGCAAATGCATTCCATCTGAAAATAAAAACAGAAAATAAACTATTTAAACGTCAAGCTGAATTTGGGCTTTTAAGGGAAAATATTGTTGACGTCAAGACAAAATGTCGACATGATGCCTTATTTGTAAATTGCACCATTTTTTTGGTTAATATCATCAAGGAGTTATAACAGAGTTATAACTCCTTGATATCATCAACGCCAAATAACCAATGTTATCTTCCATCATCTACATGTATACAGTACTTGCAACAGATCGATGCCAATTTCAGTCTAAGATTTCTGACCATTTCGTGGAAATTGTGGCAATGAGACACAAGTCTTTTTTCTCCATCTTCTACTGACCTTGGTCCTTTCTGAACACCTCTCACCAAAATTCTCACCTGGATTACATAATAATATATACCAGACCACCTTCCGTACAGGAGCCTCGATTTCAACTTTAGCCTTTGTTATATGATATAGAGCAACCGGCCCCGCCCCATTAGAAAAGAAAATTACCCCACCCCTAACGCACAATCACAAATGAAGATATTCAGCAATGTAATACAACGTCATGAGCTGTATCCATTTACCCGAATAGATCTGAGTAGAACAGAAATAAAGGAAATTATAAGTTGAGGAAGGCATGAATTACACATCTGCTATATCTGCCCAAGAAGTTATAATTATAACTTCTTGATCTGCCACTGCACAGGACATGTAGAGGATTTCTATGGTTTGTGTAATTTTTTGTATCTGTATCATTTTAGTCATCCGTACAATAGAGCGTTGTGTTTCTTTCTTTTTTGATAATAGCTAGTGGCATGAAAAAAAAAAAAAAAAAAAAAAAGGTGACCAGCACAGCTAGTTGAAGGGGCTTCATGTCAGATCTTTTATATATTCTTTACCAGTACTTACTCCACTGAAAATGGCTATTGTAAATTATATTTGCCATTTTAAAAATGAGTTACCATCGAGAAAGGAAAATGCCGTAAAAAATTGTTACTAAAGTCAGATGAAGATACAACTTTTGATGTCCAGTTAATGTGAACAGTGATTTTGGTCACTAATGTAAACATGGAAATGACAAGTTTTTCCAATAAAATGCAACAAAGTACTGTAAAAGACTAGAAATTGTATTGTTGTAATAAAAAAATGCAGACACCTTACAAAGGGCAACAGATGGGAATGAATTTTGATGATACTGTATGAAATAAAAAATCTGATGAAGAAATGTTAGGATAGGACTTTTTGAATGAATGTTTCAGTTGAAGTTGACACAACATAATAAGGGAAAAAGCATAGAATTTCAGTCTGTTTATTAAATTGTTTAACCAACTGGTTTTATCCAGGATTTTAATAGCATTTTTTTAAATGAAAAATTAGTTTTTATCAAATTCAAAATATTTTAAGCCTAAACAAGCATAATTTGCCATGATTATCCATGAAACTTTGTCTTTTTTTACAAACTGGTATTCAATATTTAAAAACTTAAACATAAGGGTCAGTAAAAGAAAAAGAAAATTCAGAAAATACTCAAGGTAGATTTTATTGTCACAGATCAATGAAGTTATTTTAAAAATGTCTATTTAAAAGTGAATGAGATCATTAATGGCAGCATTTATTAAAAAAAGATACTTTATGAGATTCTGGTCACATTTTTTGCACTGTAGCAATGTATTAAATACTTAGGGAGTGTATTTGTTTATATTAAAACACTTCTGATCCATAAGAAATTTAAAAGGACAAAGTTCAACACAAAATATTTTAATAATTTTTATATTATTTCTTTAAATCATAAACATGGTATAGTTCTGCAATAGGGGTATGAGGCCTCCATGAGTGTATTTGATAAAAGTCTTTGCACTATTTCTGGAATTATATCACTTAGTAAAAGGTTCCACTGGCACCAGAGCACTGAGTTTTTTAAAACTTAACAAGCTGTGTCTTTTCCTGCCTGTGAGCATCCTCACCAGCCTCATTAGCTGAGAAAAGTAGGCAGTAACCATACACACAAACTGCCTTCAGTGTCTGGAACACAAATAAGTCCTCCACCAGTGCCACTCCTACCAGAGCAGCCCAGTTGTACACAGCGCTATCACTCAGCTCTCTGCCATACACAATGGTGAGAAATACTGCCCCAGCCATGGAAACGCCTAGCAAAATGAATGCTGGATAGATCAAAAAGTGGGGCAACTTTCTGCCATGCTTTCTGTTGACCATCATCTCCAGTGACTTCAGCTCAGTGTATGGCACCTCATCTGATGGTTCTGGAACAGATTGTGTGGAAATGAATTATTGCAAAAAAGTATGTGTAAGTTTTACTAAAAATTGAAGCAGGGTAATATTACCCCTGCTTAAGACCATAATCTCTGTTTTAATTTTAATAAAGGCAAGGAAACTTGTGTTGAAATCAATGTTCTAAGTATCTTCAAAATGTAAGCTGATGGGTTACATGTACAGTCTGTACATGAAAATGCATTATCCTTTTTTTGTTTATTCATTCATTTTCAAAATAATAAACTGAAATGACAGACATTAATGCATCAAACAAGGAAAATATAAAGGGAAATGTAAAAATTATTTGTTTGAGCCATATTTCTCTACTGTTGAACAAAAATTAAGAATCTAAAAATCAAAAGGATGTTACATCTGTTCTACACCATCAAAAAGGATTAAAAAACATCATCAGATAGACATTTCTACAGCATTATATAACAGCAAACTATTTTATATATATATATATACATGATTACCTGAAATAAGAAAACTTTGTTTGAAGTGAGCAATGAGACTGTAAAAAGATGAAGCATCTGCATTTCTGTAGCTGGAAATCTTCCCAGCATGGGATTTTGGGTTCTCTGCCTGCATTTCCTTATGCATCTTTGAGTTTAGCCTAGTGTTTTTAGGGGGGGGGAGCATATGTGAAGAACTCAGAAGCAATGTAGTTGTTATTTTCCCCAGAGACTTCTGGCATCTGGTAGTATGATGCTACTAGTGGACAGTGCACTGGAGCTGGGAGTGCTGTTGTAGCTGGGTGTTTTCTGAAATATTGAACATCATCCAATAATTGATTCTGTTGACTTGTAAATATAGGCAAAATATTCCACAGACCGAGATATTTATTATGGTAGTGGTTTGATGTTGCACAATAATACCTCAATATTAGCATAATGTCTTTTTATGTTCTTAGTATATGTATATGTGCTTATAAGTCAAGCCAAATATATTGTCAAACATTACAGAAATGATACAAGTGTCTGTTTTTAATTACAAGAAGGCAATACAAGTATGTCTCAAAGTCAATCCATGATATCTGTACAGGCAAATACATGCATGCACAAACTAAAAATAGAAGTAATAAATACCCCTTTCTTGCTGTCCACATCTCCCATGGCAACCATATTTTCCTTGACAACCAAATTTTCTTTGGCAACCATTTCTTCAATCTGTGCCATACCCCGGTGTTCTACAGTTGCATGTGCTAAATCATAACCCTTCTCAAAGTCATAAGCCACCTGTTTCACCTGTCTCCACATTTCCATCACTGATTGTGCAACTGAAAAAAAAAATAAATAAATAAAATAATAATAATACTTAATGAATCTTTCTTCAATCAAGAAATATTGTAAAGAATTAGTATCATTGGTAGAACAACACTCCGACTATAATTACTAACTCCATTTACATACTCAGAACATGTGTCACATTAGCAAGAAAATGTGAAATCATAACACAACTATGAATATTTAACACAAATGAAATAGTATATGAAATGAAACATGTTCAGCCCCATACAAGCCATCAGAATCAGTCGCTGCTATGAGCAAGATCTGTGGTCAACTCCCAAAGCTAAAGACAAATTTAACTTTATTCCAACATAACTGTGAAATGAGGAGTCTTAAAATGAACACAAAAAATAAACTGCTTTCTTACATGTCATCATACTGGGGCTCATCTTCCAGGCTCTGCAGCACAGTGTCACCAGTGTCCTCTCTGTCATAGCACCTGATATTGTACATTGCTACATCATATATGCTATTCACAAGGAATGTTCCTATATTGACAAGGAGGCTGGAGAGGAAGATGTCTCTATCAAGCTGAATGACACCAACAGCACTGAGAAGGGTACTGATAAGCAGCATGTTTGCAAACATGTAGTTCAAGGTGCTGTTAAACCACAGAAGGACAGGGGCTAACTTCAAGTTGGAACAGCGTGTCCATCCATGACAGGACCACATATACAGAAGGCAAGTTTGCAGTCCAAACCTGAAAAATATTAAATTGATATAAAATATCAAAGTACCGACATTGTATACATGAAAATTAGATGTTGAAGGAAAACTGTATACTACATTGAGAAATCAGAATATATATCATTATTATTATTATCTTTCATATTTTATTTGTTGATAACTTGTAAAAGAAGTCATTTCAAAGTACATCATATATTTATTTATCCACTGTGAGAAAGTCTCCAACTTACCTGTAGTTCTTACAAGACTCCAAAGTGGTGTATCCCACTGTGAGGCATCCATTGCTGCTGAAGTGGGATTCACAGCCAGTTACTGTATCATATACTGTTATGTCCAACACATTCCTTCAGTGAAAGAAAAAAAATTCACTCAAATTCTTTATACAACTAATATTTAACAATCAATATTTCAAATAAATTCAAATAAATAAATTTGGGCGTCTATCCATCTAAACTGAGAAGCTAGCTAAGAGTTTTATTTATTTATTTTTTTCAAAAATACATAAAAGTATGTTAAATTGGCATTAAACTCCATCTGGATATATAAAATATCTACTATAAATAACATAACAATATGAATATACATTTAACTACAGATGCATCCAAGGTATTCATGACACAAAACATATTTCAGAACAATGACAAAAATAATCTCTTTTAATTTGCAGACCTTTCTTTATACAGGTACTATATAGTGTAACGATGTTTGTGATGTCGCAGTTTGTTTTGTAAATTACCACTGAGCTCCTGGTCCTCCACTGATGTTCACCACAACCTTCTTCAGTTTTCCCAGGTACTCTGAGTTTAATAATTTTATATATATATATATATATATATATATATATATATATATATATATATATATATAAAGTTTCACTATAATATTAGTATGTTGTTTGAGAGTACGACATGCATCAAATATAACTGAGTTGTAGTTTAATTCTAAATATAAATTTAGTTCATATAACAATACCATTAGCACAAATCAAATTAACAAGAATTCTTGCACTAGCTCTATCTAAACACACTCTGCACTTAACTTTATGATAAAAAGTCTACATAACTAACTTAACATGATACTTTAAGTACTAGTAATGATATATAATATAGCCACTGACAGAGATGTGACCTGATGTTCCAGTTATACTTTAAGTACTAGCAATGATATACAATAAAGCCACTGACAGAGATGAACAGCAAACTGTGACCTGATGTTCCAGTTAAGACTGTACATGCTGAATTGATTGTAATAAATAAACAGTAATTAACTGCTAATAATACTGTTGAATCAATATTTGCAGGAAATGAAATTTTTATGTGCTCCAAAAATATTCAAGATACTTACCTTTTGTATACAAAAGAAACCAGTTCTTCTGTCCTACCCCAAGGAAATTATGCTTCCTCCCATATTCATTCAGATTATATTCAGGAGATACCCCCTGGTCTCCTTTCAACTGCAATCTGACTTTGGGTGTCTTTACTGCTACAAAACAACATATTTCAATAGTTTGGAATAAATACAGTCAAACAACAACTTCAATAATTATATACAACTGTAAGACTCTTCATTGGCCTATATCTCTTTTTCTATTTTTGGTCATTTTAATATTAAAACATATTATCATTATCATTATTATTATTATTATTATTATCTTTAGACACTTAGATTTCACACAATAATAACTAGTTTAAGCTGTTCAACAAGGATCAGAATCGATAACTTGGAAGATCTTAGCATCACTTTTACCTCTTTTCAGCCCATTTTGAACTGCTACCATGTATCTATAGTGATGTTCACCAGAATATTTTGGAACAACTATGACACCACTCTGCTTTCTCTGAAATGATAATGACCATTATAATTACAAGGCAAAAGAAAAGAAAGGAAAGGAAAAGATTGTCAAAATAAAACAAAGATGTCATTAAATTGATTGCAGTGGAAACAAAGAAATTTCCAGTTTTTTAATACAATTACCTATTTTATATTTTAAACAGTTATTCTAACACAGAAATTTGTAAGAGAGAACTATTTTTATACTTTCATGCAGACTAAATTTAAAATGCAAGTGTAACACAAAATTTTGTTTTAGTACCTTCTTCCAATTGAGCCAAATAACATAAAATTCTGAGAAACAGAAGTCCAAAAAAAGAATAGATAAATGCGTATGTAACTTTGTTGTTCATCACAAACTCTGGTGGAGGCATTTTTAAGGCAAAAGCTAGCAAAGAAAATGAAGAAAGGATGGAGCTTAAAAAATGAAAAGCAAGGAAGAAGGGCAAGGAAAAGTAAAAGGAAGCATGGTTATTTTAAATGAATATAAAAGATAGTGAAAGTAGGGTCAAATAAAAATTAGGCTCAAACAAAACAAAACACAAAAAGTAGGTTGCTATAAATATCAAAACACATGAAATATTGACAAAGTTTTAAAAAACATCAAAATTTGTGCTTAAAATGAATTGTGGAAAAAAAAAACATTGGTTCCCCATGAGTTGTTTTAAATTTATATCACTTGCTTTGTGAACAGAAAAGGTGCAAAAGAGTTACATATAATTTGATGACATACTTACCTTCATGGAGAGATTGCATGAGCAGTAGTTACATCAACAGAACTTTGATCTTCAAGTTCTTCAAACTGGCAATTTTTCTCTCTGTACCAAATAATATGAAGGCGTGCGACAAACACTTAAATAAAAACAGAAGTCGCAATTCAGCGAACAAACAAGAACTTATCGATTTCGGATATTTCAAAATGTTTGGACGGAGCTGACTTAGACTTCCGCCAAAATCTCACAAATATCTGTTGCAGACACAATCAACTCACGTGACCATTGTGCTGGGGTGTGCGGTTGTGATGGTTAACAGCCAAATAGATGAAGGCTTCGTTCACATGAAAAATCTATTTTCTAAAAAATCTATTTTCTATTCGCGGTATCTTGTGATCACTGTCTGTGCCCTGAATACTCCGCGGCGTAATTACTGGCAGCGCGAGCCAGTTACTTCCAAAGCTGTAATCAATTCTCGGCTGCGCTCGGAGTGATCACAAGATACCGCGAATAGAAAATAGATTTTTAGAAAATAGATTTTTCATGTGAACAGAGTCAAAAAAAAAAAATAAAAATAAATAAATAAATAATAATAGTAATGAATAAAATTCACCTTGAAGGCTCACTGCACAACCTAATTGAGGCTTTAGTAAATTACTTTTAAGAGGATAAGTATGGTTTATGTTATTTTTCGCATTCGGGGGCGGATCCAGGATCATGAAGGGGGGGGGGAGGGTCCAGAAAGACGGATGCGAAGCCGACTATTATCGCCCCCTTGGTGTGGGGTTCGGGGCCTGCTGTGTGTTTTGGGGAGCAAACAGGGTCCTTTGGTACGGTTAAGAACTGTGATTAGCTTGTCAAAATTCTAATTTCAAGAGGGGGATATTGCTGTGATATGGGCGAATTTTTCAAAAACCGACCATCCTCTAAATCCGCCACTGATATTTGTTTGAATTTATGGATATTGATCTACTTTAATGAAAGACAGCGGACAGCTGGCTACGCTAAAATAATTAGCAGGGGAGGACCCAGGATTATTTGAAGGGGGTGTCCTTAGATGGGAAATCGACCCCCCCCCCCCAAGCCCCTTGGCGTTGGGAACCGTGCCCGCTGAAGGGTCTCGAAGAATTTTGATATTTTTAGGGCGAACGGTGTCATTGGGTAAGTTGTTCAGAACTATGATTCAGTTGGTTAAAATTGTAATATCAGGAGGGAATCATTGGTGTGATTTTTTCAGAAATCGAAGGAGGGGGGAGTCAGCCCCTCCCCCCTTCAATTGATCCTGGATCCGTTTGTTAAAATTGTAATATCAGGAGGGAATCATTGGTGTGTTTTTTTTTCAGAAATCGAAAAAGGGGGGTGGGAGTCACCTGTACAAAGTAATGGGGAAAGGACTACGTTTCCTAGCGGACACACCGGCATATAGGGGCCTATCTATCAACGGTTCAAAACTGAGATGCATTGTTTGAATAAAATTGTTCTATTATATGAAGTCATTGACGATGTGGCGTGATAAATTACCCAATCATCATTGTACTAATTTAAAGGCATTCATTTATACAAATAAATGTAAGAAATGTTTCTCAGCAAAAGTATTATAACTTAAATACACATCTGAATCAGGCAAATGTACACACGCGCGCGCGCGCGCGCGCACTGGCACATGCACACTATATTGCACAAGCACACAGCACAATTTAGCCTTTGACACAAGAGCTCCAAAGTGGAGTAGTCACAAGCCACCTGTTTCATCGTCATAGTCAACGTTATATCAACATCATGTCAACATGTCAACGTAAGCGACGCAGATGTGTCAACCTCAAATACCAAATTTTCTGTCTACGTGCCACCACTGGCACCAGATCCAAAGGCGTTCTAAAATGAGCCAAACACACTTTAAAATATGTTTAACAAAGTTTAAATACCTCTCTACTGAGTAACAAGTATGTAAAATTCAAGATTTCGTCGCTGTCAGTCACGAGCAGGTACATCTGTCTAAACGGCCTTGACCTATAATCACATTATTTGACTAGCGGCTATTTCACAATCAGACGTACACTTTCAAAATTGAGCATGTTACATTGCCTCTAAGTATTATCAAAACCAACCTGGTGCCCACTCTTTGTCTAACCTGGTAGATGGCACTTAGTCGGCAAGCAAAAAAAAATTTTTTGGAAAATCGGACATAGATTGGCAAAAATATACTAATTTGAATACCCTAAATACAGCAGTTTTTAGTTGTTACGAAGGGTCACTGCAGTTGTGTAATAATTTCAGGTAGTGGATATGTAATTTGGTATTGTAATTTATTGCATTTAGTTTGACTTAAGATATCAGTTGTGAGGTATAATGTTGTTTGAAAATCAGTTGGGCATAATATAGTGTAACATATGAGACAAAAGCCATTGAATGTTGAAAGGGAGCTCTGTTACGGATTTTTCTGTTTTTAACTTAGTTGATTTCAAGGAGCCCCTGAAAGGAAATATTATGCTTGACAATAACTTTTCTTCAGTAAAATGTGTTTTTAAAGGTATTTCAATACATTTAAAAAAATTATTGTGTCCAAATCCATATTTAGTTGAAAAGTCCAACAATCCAAATTTGAAACCACATCTTAACACAAAATTTTGTAGCGTCCGTCCCCCCTGTAGCAAAAGGATAGGAGTTAATCTTTTTTTTAAACCACACTCAGGCACTTATGCAGTTCACTACCCATGATAAAATAACCTGCCTAAAAGGCCAGTAGTACGACACACTGTGGATATACCATTTGATTAGTTGTCAAATGTAGCGTCCGTCCCCACCTGTAGCGCCCGTCCCCAATTTGTATTTTTGGCTTTATTAAGGATACACATGCTACAATGTATTTTAATTAAGTATATTTTGTAAATACTCATTATAATCTATCTAATGTAGGCAAAGTTTGTCACTGACACATTTGGTGCATTACTTTTAATGAATAAATGGATACATTAAAAACAATGTTATAATATGAAACAATGTTGTTGCTTTTGTTGCTGTGAAACAACACCTGTTGTGTACTTAATTGCTATGAGACGAAGTGACATCACTTGCATATTTTATCCAAGATAATAGGTGGTAATTTATGCATTTGAGCTTGGAACAATGATGGAGCAACATATATGTTTTAATTGTTGCTGAGGATGGGTAAACCAAGTCAAAGTAGAAAAGGAAATGCCATGGAAATGGAAGGCATAAGTGAAAGTGCTTTGAAAAAAAGAAAACAACGAGAAAAACTCAAGAAAGATCCTGAGCGTTTGAAAACTGCAAGAGAAAAGGACAGACTCAGAAAGAAAAAAGAAAGAGAAAAGAAGAGACTTTACTTAATGAATCACCCAACATTAGCAAAAGCTGAAAGAGCAAAGGAAACTAATAGAATGAGAAAATATAGAGACAAAATCCGAGAACAAACAAAGATCAGTGCTTTATCAGAAGCAGCTAAAGCAAGAGAGAAAAGGAAAAGAATACTTTCAGCCCAAAGAGAAAGAAACAGAAAGATGAAACTCAGTGAAGAAGCTAAAAAGAAAGAGGTCATGAGAGTTAAAGCATGGAGACTAAGGGTTCAGTTACAAGATAAAACACCACAAGGTAAAGAATCAAGCCCGTTTTCATCTTCCTCCACTGAAAAGAGAGCCTTGAAACAAGCAAAGAATGCCCTTCCGAGGTCACCGAGAAGAAAAGCTAAAATTGTAGAAAGGCTAATAAGATCTCCTACAGTAAACAGCATATTAGAACAGAAAGGAATAATAGCAAGCAAGGAAACAAGCAGAAAGTTGGAGATGGGGGAGACCCTTATTCAAAGTATGTCAGAGCATATAAAGGATGTAAAGTATAAAGGTACAGCATCTGCATCTCAAAATATGGCGTACAAAGTTTTAAAATCAGTGATAAACAAGAAAGGAAAATACAGGGTCAAAATGAAACTCAACAAGTCAATGGGAATCAGAAGAGGTGTGGGTAAGACGGGCAGTAAATGGTGGACAACAAATACAAGGAAAAGAAGAAAAACCAGAATCCCCGATGAAGTTAAAGAAAAAATCCGGTCTTTTTTTCTAAGTCCAGGGGTAAGCCAGGTGGTGCCAGACAAGAGAGCTACCATAAAGGTTGGAAAAGAGCGAGTTGGGCGGCAAAATATGAAGTCCACACTGGAAGATGCGTTCAAAGCGTACAAAGCCAAATACCCAACAGACAAGGTGGGGTTCACCTCCTTTTGCAAATTGAGGCCACCACAGGTGAAAAAGATCTCTGAGACCAGTAGAAGAACTTGTCTCTGTCAGCAGTGCTGCAATGCAGCACTGAAAGCTGAAGCATTAAAAAAGTTTGCCGGCGACCAAGCAACTTCAATAAAAACCTCCAAAAGAGATGTCTTAAAAGCCACCATGTGTGCACATATTAGTGAGTACCCACGATCTGACTGTGTAAATAGGACCTGCCAGGACTGTGGACCAAAGCTTTTAACTCAGCAGTATAAAGAAATACTCCAAGTAAGACAAGATCAAGAAATAACATGGAACACATGGGAGTATGTTACAGCCAGTGAAAAGAGAGTAATTTCATGTGTAACCAAGACAACACCATTCCAGGAATTTATGCAACTGTATGAGAAGGATTTAGAAAGTTTATCTGGTCATATATTCAGGGCAGAGTGGCAGCAAGCACAAATGAAGACCTGTATAGAGTCCCTTTCACCAGATGAATGTGTATTGTGCATGGATTATGCTGAGAACTACCGATGTAATTTTCAAGCAGAAGTGCAGTCGGCATTTTTTGATCCAAATTCTGTCACATTGCATCCGATGATGGCCTACTATGTGCAGATGTATGGTGAAGAATACATACCTGTAAAACATGGAATCATTGGAATAACTAATGACCATGCAAAAGACGCTTGTGGGGTTAAGATGTTTGAAGATAAAGCAATTGCCATTGTACAGAAGGAGATGCAAACACCCATAAGAAGAGTACATGAATTTACGGATGGATGTGCTGCCCAGTATAAGGGAAGGGTAGCATTCTACGATGTGAGCAGAAACCAGAACAATATAACACGCAACTTTTATGAGACAAGCCACGGAAAATCAGTATGTGATGGTCTTGGAGCTGTTGTGAAGATGGGGTGTTACAAAGCAGTGGTAAGCGAAAAAGTGATAATCAAGGATGCAGAAGATATGTTCCAATTCTGCACTGAAAGCATGGAAATACCCAGCCCTGGAAAGATAGAAAAGAAGAAACACCTGGTGAAAAGACATTTTGTTTTCATACACAAGGATGATGTGCAAAGAGATCGCCCAAATGTGAAGACACTAGCTGGAACAAGAAAATTGCACAGCATTAGAGGCACAGGAAAAGAGCTATCCTTGGAAACCAGAAGCTTGAGCTGCTATTGTCAAAATTGCAGAAGAGATAATACACCAGCGGAGGAATGTGAAAATTCAGAATATGTTGAAACATGGGCACCAGTTCAACTCAAATTATCTCGCAGATAGGATGTCAGTTGTATGGTTAATTCAGAGTTCATTTTATGATTAATTTGGAATTCATATAATGGGTAGCTGGAGTGTTGATGGAGTTTAAAGAGTTCACCAGGTATAAAAGTTGTTAAATATCCACAGTTAATTGCAGTTAATAGTTACATGTATCAATTATTTTAGTGTTGTTACTGTTTTACAATGTATAGTATTTAAGAGCTGGCTAAACATTTTTTGAAAACAAGTTTTAAAATATTTTACTGTTATTGATTAAAATATTAAAAATATTTTATTGTTATTGATTTTTAAATTTGTTGTTGAACTGTTTACATTGATTTTTATACAGTTAATTTTTTGGAGTTAATTGAGAATTTTGGAATTCCTTAATGTTTTGGAGATTATAGTTCCAAAATACTGTAAATTTTGTAGCAGTTATAATTACAGTAAGAGTAAACTGCTTAACTTAAGTATAAGAAAACTCAGTTTTCTGTACTTTGAAAATAATACTACCTTATGAATCATATCAAGATTTAACTATTTTCACAAAAAGAATTATGGCGTGTCAGTTTCAACAGCTGGAATAGGAATATAAAAATGGCATGTTTTGGTGTAGCGTCCGTCCCCAAGTGTATTGCATACCAAGTTATGAAATTATAGCACTCTTAACATGTTATAGGTATTTTATTATGTGTCATTCTTATGGTCAAGTCTTTGTCATATCAAAAATAAAGTTTTCAAATCATTGATGGAATCCCCTGATTTGATCTTAATCACACAACATTGTATTTTTATTTGCAAAAGAAAAAGAAATATGGCCATGCATCATGCAACTGCACATTTTGGAAAAAATAGCTCATAGTTGATTGAAATTTTGAGGTTTTCATTGCAAGCACAATTCATATGTATAAAAGTATGCTTATTAAAATCAATGTTTTCCAATTATTATGTTTTATTCATCACGTGAATATAATCGCCTTGTAAAAATGTAGCGTCCGTCCCCTGTTTGAGAGCATCCAGTTATTTTAGTGTTAAACAAAAACAAAGAGAAACGGTGCAAAAACATTTGAAGGGATTATGCCCAAGATCTATACCAATGTCTTACTGATATTTAATTCTCTGTTTGGTGAAGTTCATATTTGGTCAAAAGTGGACCATAAAGTGTACATCTGATTATGAAATAGCCGTAGAGTCTATGCCAATCTAAGTGTGCATATATTTTATTTCTTCACCATGATTTTCTGTCGCAAAAGATGTCCAAAATAAATAAATAAAGAATCACACTAGAATGTCTTTATTTTATAATTTGATATGAGTGTGGTTTGTGTGACTGAATTGAGGTGGGTAACAGTTCAGACAGTTCAGACAATTCCCTTTGAACGGTGACAGGTGGGTCGAATCCATTCGATTTGAAGAGTGACAGGTGGGACATGTCCATTCCATCTGAGGGGTGACAGGTGGGTCGAGTTCATGGAATCTGAGGGGGGGCAGG